ATAAAAAAAATTGATATTTCTATTTATATATTTTTTCTTTATTTCAATCAATTTCTCAGTTCGTATATTGGCATAAACATATTGTACCGGCCGATACACTGCAAAACCCAAACTTCTTTTATTATTATTATTATCATTATTTGTTTTCTTCTTCCCTTTCACCATTTTCTGCTACCGTATTCAACGAAAATGAACACCATATATAGCAATCCTTGAACCCCACTCCTCTCCATCCAAAATCCAAGCCCTTGCTACCGGTTAAATATTACCTAAGAACGGGAGCATATGTTCGAACTCTTCTCATGAAATTATAGCAGTGACAGAATTTTTTATTAAGCATATTGTTCATATGTACCCTCTGCATGGTGTTAAGCTTGTTGATAGGTTGTTGGTGTTGGACTTTTGACAGAAATGTCATTACAAAATACAAATTTAGAAAAAGGGCAAATTAGACGTTGCATTGTTTCAAATTTTAGGGAAAAAAAAAAAGACAATAGTCTTTAACTTTCTTAGATTATCAGATCAGTCCTTAGAACTAAAAATTGTTGCTGAAGAATCCTTAAAATTTTTTCTTGTCACGGCATAGTACTTAAAGTCTCAGTAGAAAGTCTAGCTCCCATAGATGAATGGAAAGAGTCAAAAATCTTGATTCTTTCACTTTCTTAGTATATATATATGAATGCAATGTATTCTTGTTAGATGAAGAATGCTGATATTGGCTTCGTGATGTTGAAGAAACTTGGGAAAAAGAGAAAGAGGGAATTTAATCAGGGTTTGGGTTTGAGTGTGTCGAAAAATTTCACTGATATCTGTTTCTTTTGGGCAGTTCACTGGTTGCTTTGACTACGCGTGTTGAAAACAGAAGCCAATGGGCACCGCTTGTGTTAGATTTCATGAGAGGGGGAATTGATGGAGAAAGGATCATGCAGGTAGAGATCTTGCGTGGGGCACACATAGACCTCATCCCGAGCACCATTTTTGGCAATGACAATGAAGACAATCCTGTTTTTGTGTATGCTCATACTGATGGAATGGACACACAATTATGGACTCCTATACCCCCAAACATGATCAAGTATAATGCTAAGGTTTTTCTGGGATTTGTGAGATTTCGCGAGCCAATTGAAACTGCATTTTTTGGTGGATCTAAGTTAGGAAGGCTCAGGTCCCTTTCCTCGCTTTGATTTCGCTTTTCAATAATTCATCCGTACATTCAGTTTTCATTGTTTGCTAAATTGTTCTTTATATATGGTTTTGCAGGGCTGTTGTTAAGGTGAAAAATGCTATGAAGAAGGCGATGAATAAAATTATGGGTATAAACTGATGAGGTAAATATGTTCTGTACTTCGATTTTTCCTTCACAAGATCTTCTGGTCCTTTATTATTGAGTTTTGATGTTAATTTATCATGGATATCATGCTTCTATTTTGCTCATAAGTCTTGTCCTTTTTTTTTTTCAGGAGATTTCATTTCTCATCCAAACCATCAGAAGAAATTATATATGGCATGTATAAACAGGAGATTTCATATTTCATCCAAACAGTCAGAATAATTTATATATGCCATGTATAAACACTTTCTTTCTATTGTTAGACTTTCTGGATACATGCTGTTCTTGGCTCTTCGCTGTTTGACATACTTATGACATCAAGTAGTAATTTGATTCTTACTTTTCCTTTTGGATTCTTGAATTGATGTTGGGATTTAATGTTTGTTTTCAAGGGGAAAAGTATGAAGTGGTATTGGTTGCTTCTTCTTTTCTTAGTTTTGGAAGTCTTTTTTGTTATGTTCAATTGGATTTTGTGGGGTTTGAGTTGAAGAAATGGACCTTCTAAACACTTCCTTTACACAGACAAGCACTCTTATTCTTTCATCACCCCTTTTGTAGAAACTACAAAGACTTTGTTTTCTATTTCAAAACAGGGAATTTACCTGAAACTACAAAAACCCACGATTTTAATCTCATGGAATTGCAGATGTTTTTCAGACAACATGGCGAAAATTTAAAAAAGAAAAAAAAATATACTAAAGAGTAAAGTAAAGAAATGGGAACCTGTGGTTGTAGAGTTCTTGTGCCAGAAACTATCCCACCAGTCCGATTCAATGGCTCTGGTTTCAGTAGGAACTACACTTATGCTCTTGGGTTTCTTCAATTTCTTTGATGTTTTTCTGTCTTCTTCAATTTCTTGAAAGGAGCCATCAGACTCTATACTGCTTGGATCTTCCGCCGTTTTCACTGATTCAACATTT